CTTACACGGAACAAGAATTAGATTTTCCTGATTAGACTGATTAACTTCAGATGTTTGTGCTCTGTATAAATTTCCCTACCCCACAAATATGCTGATTTATTGTCTTACACAGAATGTCCAGACACCCTTTTTTGGGGTATTCTGTCTCTTACTACAGGTTTTAGCTTCATAAAAAAAAAAAACAGTTAACATTTAATAATAATCTGATGAACAACAAACAATGTCAATTATGAATGCACATCAATGGATAAAAACATGACCATTTAGAAAATTTAATACCACATATAAGAAAAAATTAAGCACAAAACCGCACCGTGTAATCTTCTTCTACGATGGTCAAAATGCCAGCTGAGGGACATAGTCCCTCTAGCGCAGGGGTGCCCAAAGTTTTTTCTTCAGGGCCAAAGTAAAGATTTGCCAGTGGGCCGCGGGCCAAATACACCAATATTACACGAAACACAAATAAATGTAAATTTGATTTAATTCAAGTTCCTTTAATTCTTGTTGAACAATCAAATGAATTAATTATAGTGTATCAGTGCAAATTACAGCTGAATAAATGAAAACAACATAGTCTTCGTGAAGGGGAGAATATTCTGGTTTGAGGCGACAACAGTTTGGAAAGATTCCAGTCAGAGAATCAAGGTCCAGAGGAGGGAGTTTATTTCTATTTATTCCGTCGTGCTTATTCAGCTTATAATGATAATTGTGTGTGTGTTCTGCAATAAAGAAAAGACAAATATACAATGTGTAGCTGTACGTAGCAACAAGACATATACTATAATCAACAGCAATACATTTGTCTAGAACTCAATATTAGAAAAATACAGCACTTATTTGGGTGCTCCTAAAAAGTTAAAGACATGCCCTTTAATTTTGGCGCAAGATACAGCGCAGGTTGTCAGATGTACAATATATGTAACTGATAATAAACTAGCAATAAAATTAACTTTGAACTATAAATTCATGACCTGACCTTCACCATCCTACTGTCTGCTGTCATTGTGTCCTTGGCAAGACACTTAACCTCTGGGAACACCAGAGGTGTGCACATAGGCAAGACACTTAACCCCCATTGTCTAGAATGAGTTTGGTGTGTGAATGGTTGGTGGTGGTCGGAGGGACTACAATAGTAATTTATCACCACCGTGTATGGAGTGAAAGAATAATGACATGTAAAGTGTCTGAGTGTCCAGAAAAACGCTATATAAAACCGATGCATTATTATTATAAATTAGCATAAAAACCGTCATTAGACATTAGAATACTACTTATAGTAGGTTCATCACATCACAAAGGATAAAGTCTGTTAAGTACACTGACATATGGCTAAAGCTGCGCATATGTTGTATATCAACAAATCATACATGGTTCTTACTTTCTGGTCATTAACGCACGCTGACAGAGGCAACAAAAATTAATGCGGCTGCGTGTTGCTCTGAAAATAGCTATGTACTCAAAAGCGAAACTACTTCAACATACAAAACAGAAACCTAACACTAGGTGCAGACTTCTCTGCTTGGCTTTCCTATACTTTTCTACGACCGCAAAAAGGTTCATGGAGAGTCCTCTCAAACTGATAAAACATAAAATTTCAACACAAAAAAATCATAGTAGGCTGAAAAAAAAGAATATGAAGGTGCCTTGCACCCAATTGTTTTGATTAGTGTGTTTGATTTCAAAACATTTCTTGTGCAAGTTGATGTGAACCATGAGTGACGCGAGTATCTCTACACCAGGGGTCGGCAACTCAAAAAGTTCAAAGAGCCATATTTGACCAAAATGCTCAGAATAAACCACTGAGAGCTCGCATATGCTAAAAGTATCATCAGTTTTAGCTGTAACGAAGGTGTAGGGCAGTAACGGTTGCAACTTTAGCATAGCGATGCTACTTGAAAATTCAACAACAAGCGCGCCCTTAAATGTGGACTCCGGTTCTGACACAATTAACTTTTTCGCAACCGGACCATATTTTTCCAAGAAACTAATAATTTTGTGCTCTGCAGTTTCTGTTATGCCCTCAACAACAACTGGGAGGGATTTTGATTCCATGTTTCACAAATATGTCCATTTTGAATGTTTGTAACAAATTAATTCAAATGACACAGTAATAAATGTACATCAAACAACCCAATTCCTCCCGGCTAGCTCGCCACTTTATGTAACATGTACAATGTTACAGTAATAGTAACACTAGAATATAGAATACTAAAGACAAGAATAATAATAACAGGCTAGAATCAAGTTCTCTAGGTTCAGCTCGGAGGAAAAATGGGCTGCTCAATGAACCACACACAACAAATATATTGAGCTCAGTTGTGTTTAGTTATTGTACAGTGAAGTCATATATACATTATTTACAATTTGTGCACAGTTCATTATGTTCCATTTCATCCATAAGAGTCCATTTCATGTAATCCAATTTCCAAGGATAAAAGCAGGTTCTTGTGAAAGATTTAGTCCACAGTCTCAGTTCACATTCACACACGGTTTGTGTGTGAGTGTAGTGTGTGTGGGGAGCGGCTGCAGCGCCTCCTACCGCACTAGCAGAGTCAATGGTATAGTCTTTGTCGTCTTTTCCAGACTTAGCTCGCCATCCAGAATAGGAACCTGGCCTGTGCGTACAGACAGGACCAGCCATAAGTGACACAATTTATCAAGCATCACAATTCATAACTAACAAACAATATATCATCATTCATAGATTTCATTTCATTATCATATCATTAAAATCACTATTAAACCAAGTACAATAATCCTTGCAATCAATAGCACGTATTAACAGTGATAGGAGCGATCCAACTGGCGCCAGCACCAATATTTCCGAATACGCTCATACAGTTGAATGGGCGTTAGCATTTCATATCAAGTGAAGTACTTATGGAGTCTCTATTTTGATAAAAAAATATTTCACTAACGGGTGTCGATTTTTCGGAAAATGCATAATAAGGAACTGAAGAAATGCGTTAGCATTAGCATTGGCCTGCATAGCATCCACGGGCGCAGACAAAGCTGACAGTCCACAGTCCTCTACTTTGCTGACTTTCATAGATACAAGGTATTTTTGTGTGGTATACGGTTGTAGTAACCGAAGGAACAGAGAGAAAGAACTGTTGAATACATGTTTTAATGCCAAAGGTTGTCTCAAACCAACATGTAACAGCTACATGTGTAACAAAGCTAAAGGCAGGCTTTACAATCAGTCTTCTCACATATAATCTAGACATTGTGTTATGAGAGTCATTGTTCATCGTTATTCCCACGACTGTGAGGTCCAGGGTAATGTCTGAAGTTGTATTCGAGCTTTGTGCCCCCAGGACGCTGCGTTCGTAGCAGCCCCCGCTGTTAGCTTACTGCTGTTAGCTTACTGCTGTTAGCTTACTGCTGTTAGCTTACTGCTGTTAGCTTACTGCTGTTAGCTTACTGCTGTTAGCTTAATGCTGTTAGCTTAACGCTATGGAGCTCCCCCAGTCCGAACTTTTTGTTTACAGCTCAACATATCACCAAAATGACAATAAAGGGTCATATTTCTTGCCTCAAATGTTATTGAAAGTAGCATTTGTGCCCTATTTATAGCATTATTGATCAGAACTATCATCTCAGACGTGGTTCTGTTGCTCCACTGTCGTCACTATAACAGCCGTAATCCTCCTCATTGTTGATAAAACTGGACACAAAAAATAAGAGTGATATTAAGCTGTGAAAAGCTTCTGTGGGTGCGTTTTCCTGCATCTCCCATTCTATTTAATAGGACAAAAATACTTCGCGAAGAAGTGAATGTGGCTTTGATGTTGTTTCACGTCCTTGACTCAGTGAGATATTATAACTTTAGCGCGTTTTCGTTGTCTCTGAGGCTGCGCTCACATGCACACAGGCCCCGTTAAAGATCAGATGGCCCTGAGTACGACTGTAAAGCCCATAACGGGGTCAATGTGAGTTGTGAACGATGGTCAAAAAGAGTAAATAAACATGTAAACCATTTGTGTTGTTATATACAGATTATATTATTGATTTGTGCTCATGTATCAAGGTTTATAACGAGAAATGGCGGAAAAATTGTTCAGAGAAAAACATACTTTTGGTAGCTGCACAGCTAGCGCCCAGATGCGTTTGGATTTACTGTCCCTTATTTGTTTAACTAATAATAATAATGTTTTTCAACGAGACTCTACTATGCACGGGCTATCTGCCAGTATTTTTTTCGCTAACCATTTCAACGATTTTTCAACAATTTCTCGTAATAAACCTTGATACATATGTGCACAAATCAATATTATAATCTGTTTATAATAACACAAACTGTTTACATGTGTATTTACACTTTTTGACATGCGCAAACTGAACTTCCGGGACAAATCCAACAGCCACAAGGCACTCTACCGTGTCCTCTGCGTGCCTGCACACACACGCCCACTAAGCTGCTGCATATTGGGAGAGAATCTTAAACTAAACTCTGGTCCCCTTGTAGTCGCTGAAGTTTGTATTAGCGCCACCAGCTGGACCGAGCGTAGTACTACACAGCTTTTGGGCTGGCACGGTTTCTGTTTCTCTTCTCTTTTCCTGTTTACTTAATGGAGGTGCAGTGCCTTAGTGGGTAATTTATCATTCGTGGACATTGATCTAACCATATGGACCGATACATATGGTTTTTTTTTGTGTGTCTTAGCTGTTGATTCTCTGATCTGTGTTGGTGATTTCAATGGTTTTGTTAAGTCCTCTGAGATGACTGCTGTTGTGATTTAAGGCTATACAAGAATTGTAATGTTTTTGTTGTAATGTGTGCGAGCAAGTGAGTGACTGACACAGGAGCACGCCCTAGAGTAAGAGCTGAGAAATTAATCAATGAGATAAACGTAAAGATTGTCTAATACATGAGGCTTAGACAATCAAAATTAGAACCTGTTAGGAATTATTACCAGAATCACAGTCTATTGTTTGGGCATATACCTTCATGTAAATCATGCCTCTCCTTACTAATAATGCTGTGCTTATAATAACAGATGCCACGTACGAGAGCTGCACGGCGTTCTGCTACGGCAAAGGAAAGGAGAGGATGTCAGCTTGCTACTACGTTTGCTCTGCCTCCAAGAAAACCCAATGCCCGTAAGACTTCCCCTTCAATCATTATTATAATTATTCAATTATAATGTATATTCAAATTATTCACGATCTCAATGACATTGTGTGCATTTTAGGAAAAGGTTCTGGGGAACGATGCCTTGCTGGATCTTGGGATGAATCTGTTGTTCCCAATAAGAAACACAAACTGTTTGTTCCTTCCAAAGCAACAGGGAAAAAGGTACAACACAAATGTTAATTATACTTAATGAATCAACAAATGTTTCAACATGTAATATTTATTCCCAGTTGGTACTTTTTGCTGGTGACTCGCATCTACGTACCCTGGTCTTCAATCCATCCATCTTCCCTGAAGAGGAAAAGGCCACATATGAACTTGCTTTCTCGTGCACGCCCGGGGCTACTGCAAGACAGCTACAGCAGCAGGTTGCTAATGACCGAGAGACATTAAGGAATGCCCACAGAGGTAAGCATAGACTCAACATTGTAATAATACTAAAGTTATTCCCTGTTCAACATGACACATTCTGATCTTACAGAGCCATCACTGTTGTGTTTGTTGGCTCCTTCCAACATTCCAACGGAGCAACCAACTATGGAACAGGCTGTACAATCGTTTGCACACCTGTTAGAGTCTGTCAAAATGTACTGGCCACAGGTAAACAAAGAACAAAAACTGTAACTGATTTGTCAAAAGAAAACCACCATTTTTGTCTCATTCCATGTTTCATCTTCTAGATTTGCGTTTTGGATTTTCCACCACGTCTTAGCTTTGATGATGACTTCCAGGCAGCTCTTCGTCAAGCATATCACCGTGCAGCAGCTGAGTTGGGTTAGTAAATCTAACTGGTTTTGTTTATGTGCTTAATGACATCCATTCACCCTTTTAATTATTCTCTTTAATTACAGATGTGAAATACTACCTCTTAGCTCATCATTTCTGCATGAAGAATACTGACCTTTGGGCCAAAGATGGAGTAAGTAAAAGTATTAAACGTATTTATTTAAGCTATCTTATGCTAAACTTATGTTTCCCACTGATAGACTCACTTGAGCGACTACGGTGGTTTACCAATCCTCATTGAGCAAGCCTGGGCAGCCTGCCACCGGGAACTAGAATGTTCTCCAACACCAACTCCCAACCTCCCATGGCCTACCACCACAGCAAACAGCCTAAGAAGAAAAAAGTTAGTGCTCCCGTCCATGAACCAAGCCCACATACTCGTGGCAGAGGAAGGCTTTCCACAAAACAACGTTCCCCACGCCAGCGCTATATCAGCCCGTCTGGATTTGAACTAGTTGGGACACTTCACAAAGTGAGTAGTATTTTGGTTGATATACAACTTGTACAACAATTGGTCCTTGTGCCTCAATGCAACCCTATACATGTTTAGCGTGAAAATAACAGATAATTATAATATAACTGTGGTGACAGCATATTGTAATTATGGATTTAATTGAAGAAATATTGTACTTTTTGTCTTTTGTTTATTCGCATATTATTTCTGTAAAATGTAACAAAACGAATGTATCAAAACCTATATACAGCTTCATTCATAACAATTCACTCTGCAATGATAGACCACATATAATTATATTCAATATCAAATACTCCACATAATCTTTGCTTCTTAATGTCAATAGATTGAGTCCACTAAATATGTGTTTTGTTTTTTCACCAGGACTCTTCTTCTAGCCAGTGTTGTCCAGCAACTGCACCGGTGGGTATAACAACAATTGCATCGCTTGTGAGATAATTCAATATGAATTAATCAATTTTTTTTTTTCAAGGTGACTGTATGTGGCTTTCCAATATCACCTCATGTTTTCAGCCATGCTATGGTTGAAAACGTGGATGAGACAGATGAGATTTCATCATCCAGTGACGAAACATCAGCACTCCCAACTGGGACACAGGTTACACATATTTTGATACTTTTTTGTTATTGCTATGAAACAGAATTTTCATGGCGCTCCTTAAATTTTCTTAGATGGGATCACGTAAACGAAAAAAGGTTTTGGTAAAGAAACGCATGGACCACCGAGTAAGTCTTCTTGATTATAATTTTTTATTCTAGCTTAGTAGTAAATGTACAACATAATTTATATACTTTTTGTGTTACAGATCGTCTGCAAAAAACAGGCTGTCTACGACTCTTCCCCATCAACTTCTACATCATCTACTGAGGTTTGAAAATGTTTTCTAAAGTTACTCATCTTGGTGGTAGGTGGATCAGGACAAATACAGTCATAGACAATTAACTCGCCTTTGAGCCCCTGGTCAATGCTCTTTGCAGCAAGGCCCACCAGCGTATGTTCTTTAATCCCAAACTAAAGAGTTTTAATGTCAACAGAAATTTTATGAAAATGTTTTATTCTTGTTTTATTGAATCAGTTTTTACTGATTCAATAAAACTTAAACTCTGCCCCGTGGGTAGAGTTTAAGATGCTCCCCTCTGGCTGCAGATATAGCTCAACTAAATGCAGGACTAACAGATTTAAGAACTCCTTTATCCCTCTTGCCATTGGTATTTTAAATAGATCACTGTAATTCTGCTGTGTTTCTTTGTGTATATGTGTACCTTTTTGCTGCTGCCATTGCTTCTCGGGGATAATTAAGATACCTTGAACCATGAACCTTATTGGAGCTGGAACTATGATTGTGTCCCCCACAGATGCCGTTTCCTGTCGACTCAAAGCCAGTGACTACAAAAGAGGCTGCCAGCATGATGCATGGATTGGATGAAAGGCGACACACAAGATGCACCCGTTCCAAAACTTCAACAGTTTACCCAGAGGTTAGTTTTTTACATGTTAGCTATGATTATGATTTATATACAAATAATAGTGCAAGAACAATAACCTACTTTTCATGTCCATAGGTTCTCTTTGGTGACTTCTCCACTCCAATTTCCCCATCAAAGGACTCCAGTGACAAACCAGTCATCTTTGTGAAACAGGTCAAAACTCCCTTCATGCTATTTCTGTTCACATTTCATTGAAATGCTACAATGACATAACACCTTATTTTATTTCTGCAGGTCAAGAAGTCATCAAACAACGCAGATCTCGGATGTCAAAGCCTGATTTCAACAGATGGAGAAACCTCAGCTAAGAATGAATCTATTAACTCGTGTATTGAATTCTCAAGCAATCGCAATATTGTTGAGACACAATCTGAATCAAATCAACAATCTGGTCCAAATGATGTCACTGATGCCGAAATGCTAAATATTGAAGATCCGATTATCACTGTTCCTTCAGTTAATATCAACATATTAGTTAGTCTCCCAAAAAATGTGCGTGGCTCTTTTCACCAAGGTTCTAATCATTTGCAATGTCCAGGTGTACAGTGCATGGCCATTTCTTTGGTTGCTATCGCTCACCATAACAAACTAAATGTGTTAAAATGGGAACAATACCATTTAGACAAAGTGCTGGAATGCGGTGATGCGCTGTATGCCCGCCATCATAACAATCCACTACAACCATACATGTCTGTAGGTGACTTGCCAAAACAAGACCACATTGAAAATGACTTCTTCACATTTGATTTTGGTGATACTGTTCTAGGAAATGTAATGATAACAGACGGTGAACATATTCGCAAAGGCGTATGTTTCACATTAGACCACGGTTTAAAACATATGTTTGCTAATTACAGCACATGTATTTTTACACTATGCTCTAACACTTGCGCCATTATTCATCAAAATGGTTTATACACAATAGTTGATTCACATTCACGTTCTGCAGCTGGATTACAAGTGCCAAAAGGCAAAAGCATCGTGGCTCATTTCAAATGTTATCAAGACTTGTATCAACACATTGAACTGCTGGCTTCGGAATTCCACTCCAGAGAATTTGAAATTCAAGGAGTCGATGCAACCCTTCACAATCAACAACCTCTCATTACTGTGTCACCCCCCAATCCAATATTGACATCAGAAGAAGACGTGGTGTATTTAGGACAAGTAAACACTCCCATGTACTTCACACCTCCACCTGAGCAAGTCTGCAGACAAGTCTGTTCAAAAATGAATGTCGACTTTGTAAATCATCATTCAACTACTCAGAATGCATCTGCTTTCTTGGGTAACCCATGTACCACTACAGCTATTCAAGCAGATGGGAATTGTTTCTTCAGAGCTCTTTCACAAGCAATTTGTGGCACACAATCAAACCACCGTAAATTCAGGTCAGCAGCATTTAAACAACTGAAACGTTATTCCATTTCATATACAAATCTCTGTGAAGGTTTTTCTTCTGTTCAAGAATACATAACCACAACAAAAAGAAATAAAATGAACGCATGGGCCACACAAGTTGAAATACAAGCAATGGCTGACTATTTGAACATGGACATTTACACGTACACCAATAATAACTGGCTCAAATACAGCTGCAACAGTCAACAAACAGAATATGGTATTTTCCTGAAGCATTGCAACCAAAATCACTATGAAACAGTCAATTGTGTTTTACTAGATGACCAACAACATTGCCTTAAACTTTGTCAAAATACTAATGCACAAACCATGATAACTCGATCTCAAACTTTCTCCAACAGCTGTCCTACCACTTCAACAAAAACTAGTTTAAATTTAACGCTTCCAACTACCCCTACAAAATATCTACAAAAAAAGAAGAACATCAAGGAAAAAACAAATCTCCAACAGAACAAACTATTACGTCAACAAAAAACTGCTGCTGTCTCATTTAGTTACCACAATAAACCAAAGGTTAGACAATCTGTGATAAGTAGAAGTTGCCATGAATATGCCACTAATCCAATCCACCGGGAAAAAAAAAATTTAAAAAGCCGGCACAAATATGCCACTAATCCAATCCACAGGGAAAAAGAAAAATTAAAAAGCCGGCACAAATATGCCACTAATCCAATCCACCAGGAAGAAAAAAAATTCAAAAGCCGGCACAAATATGCAACAATTTTGCCATTTCAAGACCAACAAAAGTTCAACAGTAAATTTAGATATAAAACTGATTTGCCGTTTCAAGAATCAGTCAAACTCGATCAGCACCTTGCCTATGCTAATTTACCCACATTCCGAGAAAAACGCCGCAAGGCATGTAAATCCCACTACAAAAAAAACCGATCACTCTTAAAAGCTAAAAGCCTTCAGCGAAAAAATAAAATGCAAAACACATCTCAGTTAAACCTCGTCCATGAAACATTCTTGAAGAAAATCCAATTTGGACCGGAATTTGTGTGTTGTGTCTGTCACAGGCTGCTTTTTAAACACGGTGTCATAATTTTAAAGAGAAACCGCTATGTAAAAATGACGTCATCTGATTTGGACTTTTGCATTTCTGATAAGTTTGTGCATATATGCAGCACAACCTGTACTCAATCATGTAGATTAAATGTGGTCAGAGGAAAACATTACATTTGTTACACCTGTAACAATAAGATGATTAAAGGAAAAATACCTCCTGAAGCAGCAGCCAACAAACTGGAACTTCCACCAGTACCACCAGAACTGTCACGACTTAATAGCTTAGAAACACATCTCATATCTCCAAACATAATGTTTTATAAGTACATGGCATTGCCAAAAACCAAACAGTCTGGAATTCACGGTCCTGTTGTTTGTGTACAAAGCAGAGTTAGTCAAACATGTGAAAATCTGTTGCCTCGCACTGGTTCCCCTGGCTTAATTTGCGTCAAACTTAAACGTAAAATAACATATAAAGGACATTATGAATTTTTATTTGTAGACCCTGAAAATGTGAAAGAGGCTTTGTGCTGGCTGAAAAAACATAACATTCAATTTGAGAACATTAACTTAAATGCAAATTGGGTTAATGATTTTGCTCAGAAAGACACTGTGACAGACACTGTGACAGACACTGTGACAGACACTGTGACAGACACTGTGACAGACACTGTGACAGACACTGTGACAGACACTGTGACAGACACTGTGACAGACACTGTGACAGACACTGTGACAGACACTGTGACAGACACTGTGACAGACACTGTGACAGACACTGTGACAGAACAGGATGAACACCTTTATGATAAACAGCAACATGGTGTTTTCATGGACACTTGTTCAATGCCTTTAGACTTGGGCCAGGAGACGCTGGACCAGTATATGGACAATGTTGTAAGTGTCGCTCCTGCCGAAGGGAACAATCCCATTAGAACACTTTCTGATCAAACAAATGAAGCCAAATGCTTTCCAACAATATTCGTCACTGGCACCAACACATTTCATACCCCTAGAAAATATCCTTTAACGTTATGCAAATATCTTAAACTAAGGATCCTGAATGCGGATACTAGATGCTCAAATAATATTGAGTATCTATTTTATGCAGACAGCACATTGATTTTGTACAGGGTAATTTCTTGTGTGTCCATAGCAACACGTAAAGGACAATTTGATACAAACCATGGAAATGATGGTAATTTAAAGCATGTCATTGAGTTTAATGGCGGCTTTAGATTTCTATCACCAATTCCAGGGACCCCTGCATACTGGTCTCAAGCCAAATCATCAGTATTCGCTATGATTCGCCAGCTGGGCATTCCTACATGGTTTTGTTCTTTTAGCGCTGCTGATCTCCGCTGGAAAAATCTACTTGAGGCCCTCTTGATTCAAGAGGGAAGAAGTCAAACAGTGGAGGACTTGAATTGGACAGAACGTTGTAATCTTCTAAGAAAGAATCCTGTACTTGCAGCACGCATGTTTGACTACAGGTGGCATTGTTTCAATAACCTGGTCATTATGTCTCCTGCAAACCCAATTGGAAAAGTTGTAGACTTCTTCTACAGAATCGAGTTTCAGGCGAGAGGCTCTGCACATGTCCATGCTCTTTATTGGATAGAAAATGCACCTCAAATTGATAAAAATTCAGATGAAGAAGTGACAGCTTTTATTGATAAATATATTACATGCCAACTACCAAAAGACAATCCTGCATTATTAGACCTTATAACAACACTACAAAGTCACTCAAAACGCCACACTAAAACATGTAAAAAAAACAAAACTGAATGCAGATTCAACTTTCCAAGGCCACCATCCACTCGCACATTTATCAAAAAAGTACAGCAAACAATAATATGTCCCAAATGCAATTTGGGACAAGCCACAGATTGCATCTGTCCACCCAATAACCCAGATAGAATGAGCCAGGAAGTGGCTGAAAGCATAATGTTTCGATATAAACAAGCTTGTTTAGAGGAAAAATACAATACTGTAGCTGAGGTATTTGCAAACCGTGGTCTAACACAGGACATGTTGGAAGAAGCATTTCAAGTACTTGGGGGCCATACAAAAATCATTTTGAAAAGGGAACTGGATGAAATTTGGATTAATCAGGCAAATTGGTTTGTCCTACTTTGCTGGGAAGCAAATATCGATATCCAATATGTTGTGGACGGCTATGCATGTGCAGTTTACATTGTGAGCTACATTTCAAAGAGTGAAAGAGACCCTGGATTGCTGCTTTCAAATGCACAAAAAGAAGCATTGCAAGGCAATGAAGATGCTAAAGCAGCCATGAAAAAAATGGGGTCACTTTACCTCAACAATCGCGAAGTGTCTGCACAGGAAGCTGCATATAGAGTGGCAGGATTAAATCTCAAACAGTTCTCACGAAATGTATGTTTTATTCCCGCAGGGGCTAATATTATTCGGCTTTCAAAACCCTTAAAACAGCTTCAGGATGATTCATCTGACAACATTTGGATGACAAACATCATAGACCGTTACATTAATAGGCCCAATGATGACACTTTTCAGGACATGTGTATCTGTGTTTTTGTATCAGAATACAGAATTCTTGCAAAGGGACAAACAAGCAAGAAGCCTGTTCTACTACAGAAGTCATTAGGTGCCATTACAAAACGAGTTATCACAAAACCAGCAATTGTCAGATACCCTCGTTTCTCTGAAACACAACAGCCAGAACTGTTCTATCAGAGTATGTTGCAATTGTTCCTTCCTTATCGGACAGAGAGTGACTTAAAGCCCATACCGTTCACCACATTCCAAGAATTTTACAACTGCGGACAAATACGTCTTTGTAATGGATCCCTGACTTCAGTTAAAACAATTGTTGATGCAAATAAACGAACATTTGACATACAAACAGAAGACTTGGAAGCACTACAAACTCAAGTAAATGTCAATGACAATCTGGAAGATGCATGGTGTGCTCTCTGTCCAGCGCAACAACTTGAAAGGCTGGAAGACAAGGAGGAGGGGGTGTACAGACGACAAGAAGAATCTACTGACACAACAGAAATCCCTGAATTGGCCACCAACAAAATTCTACATTTGGAAAAAACAAACATCCTATCAAGACACGAAGGTTTGGCTCTAATCAGAACTTTAAATGACCAACAGATGATTATTTTTAAACAAATTAGACATTGGTGCTTACAGAAAACTACAGATAAAACTCCTGATCCAATCCATGTATTCATTACTGGTGGTGCGGGTACTGGAAAAACTCATCTTATTAAAACCATACAATACGAAGTAACAAGACTATTGGCCCCCATTTGCCAATCACCAGACAGTAACAGCATTTTGCTAACAGCGCCAACAGGCATAGCAGCATTCAACTTGAAGACCACAACTATTCATTCCACATTTAGCATTGGAATTGACGCCCGTCTCCCATATGTCCCTCTGGGAGAAGAGAAGCTCACAAAATTACGCACCATGTTTCGTGATGTTCATATAATCATCATAGATGAGATCTCTATGGTCTCTTACAACTTGTTGGCCTACATTCATGGCAGGCTACGACAGATAAAACAAACCGGTGATTCTCCATTTGGAAATGTAAGCATTATTGCTGTCGGCGATTTCTACCAGTTACCTCCTGTTAAAGGTAGAGCTTTATTTGAGTCTCGTGTTGGATTCAACCTCTGGGATGACTTGTTCAAAGTGGCTGAACTCACAACAGTCGTGCGTCAACAAGACTGTACCTTTGCTGAGGTGTTAAACCGCTTAAGAACACGTCAAAAAGACACACCATTGCTTTCAGATGATGAAGCTCTACTGAAACACTGTGAAACTGGCCAGAACACCTGTGCCTTGCATATCTTTCCAACTAACAATCAAGTCGAAACGCACAATGCCAAACAGGTTAAAATCACCTGCCCAGACCATATCACTATCGAAGCACAAGATTATAGTTATAGCAAAAAAACCGGCAAACTAATCGCCTTTCAAAAGGGAGTAGTTAAATTAACGCAAACTTCACTCTTGGATGAATTACCCATTGGTGTCAATGCAAGAGTCATGCTCATCAAAAACATTGATATCAGTGATGGACTTGTAAACGGTGTATGTGGCACAGTAACTTTCATAGACCACCCACCAAATACCAGACTTCCACTAGCAATTTATGTTCAATTTGACGATGCAACAATTGGCACACAAACAAGGAGTTGCACACATAATCCATCAGGTCAAGTCAATTCAACAAGAATAGAACCAACAGAACAAAGAGCTAACAAAAAAGGGGAAAAACGACGCCAATTCCCACTCAAATTAGCATGGGCATGCACTGTTCACAAAGTCCAAGGTTTAACAGTTGATGAAGCTGTCGTAGATCTAGATCACACATTTGCAGCAGGTCAAGCCTATGTGGCCTTAAGCCGTGTTAAAACAATACAGGGTCTATCTATTCTAAATTTCAAATCCAACAAGATCTATTGTAATTCCAAAATTCAACCAGCACTTGACAAAATGCAACATTTCACAATACCTGAGATATCACCACTTGCAACACTGTGTGATGCAGTCAACATCATTTACATGAATGTCCATGGTCTCTCACAACATGTGCCTGATTTAAAATTGTGTGTCAAAGAATTGCAGCCAGACGTCATTGCCATAACAGAAACATGGCTGACTACACAATCCAATGAACACGCACACCAAATCGAAAATTACACTTTTCATAGTCAACCTCGAAGTACTGCTTATGACAGCAACGCAGACCAAGCACTAATTCGACTTCAAAATGAACAACATGGTGGAGTTGGAATGTACTGTAAAGTAAATCACTCCTACAACACTGTCTCACTGCAAAATGTCAACCTGGAATTTTTAGCAACACACTTTACTGAATACAATATTCTCCTTGCTGTGATATATCGTCCACCATCATACCCTTTGACAATATTCAAATATAATTTGGACAATTTAATCACATGGTTGGATTCGAAGTACACAAACATTGCTATTGTGGGAGACTTTAATAATGACATCTTGAAATCTACAAGTATATGCAAATTCATGGAAGAAAAGGGTTTCTCTCAATGTGTCAACACTCCAACTACTTACAGAGGAACAATAATAGATCACATATACTTGAAATCCACACAATTTGAAGCAGACACATTTGTGTTACCAATGTATTTCAGTGATCACCACTGTATACAATGCTGTTTTCGGCCAAAAATGTAACCTTATCACTCAAAGTCAGTCTTGCAACACATACAAAACATTTCCATTCAACATATGCCTTGTAAATAACTTGTATATAGTTTATATTGGTTTTATGCATTTACTTTGTGCCCTATGGGCACCAAAAAAGGAAAAACACCTTTTGTCAAAGTACAGTCATTATCATGACAATTATTTGTATCAAATAAAAATGCACCTATAATCCCTTTATGTAACATGATTACAAATGTGTATCTCGTTAATTTGTATATACTGTGACACATTTCAATAAACTTTAACACGCGAAATAAAATCTGTGTACATCATTCTTTATTTGCTACTTGACCATATAAGATAATATAGATAGAAATGTGCAACATGTTAAATGCAGAATATATTATGTGCAATAAAAAGTGGCAACCAAGAAACGGTGTCAATAAGTAGTGCAGGTTTTCAGTCCTAATGCAAGTGACTTAAAGTGACTTATTTTACAGTCTGACAGCGATGGGAACAAAGGCCCTGCGATATCGCTCCTTTGTGCAGAGGGTGTCTCAGTCTTCCACTGAAGGAGCTCCTCTACAGTCCTATGCAGTGGGTGGGAATTGTTGTCCATGATGGTGACATTAGCTAGAACCCTCCTGTCCCTCACCTCCTCCAGAGTCCAGGAGGGCCAGCTTTCATATCACTAGTAA